CCAGCCCCGCGGCAGTTCGAACATAGGAAACTCATTGCGCTCGGCGCGACTCCTCGAAGGAGCCTTCCAAACACGCATCATAGGTTTTGTTACTTTTGTTGCTCATCCCGCTACTTCTGTTGTATCCAAAGGTGTCTGCCTGTTCCTCTTTGGCTCCTGTTTCAAAGGACTTAGTGGATCCACCGGAGCTGCCGTACTTGTCCCGCCCTCCAGTAACATTATGGTTTTGGCCACACCATTCACGTCCTCAGCATGAGTTGCTCCCCTCTTCCTATTGAGACCAGCTTCATCCATGTATGCATCTTCCTCCTCCCTGACTTTGGTGTTGTCCTTCCCCTTGTCATCATAGAAATCCTCTCTACCGCGGCCACCAGTGCGGCCCCCTCTGCGTCCACACCTTCGGCCTCGGCCGGCCCCAGGTCCCTGGTCGGTGCGCATAGCCCATGTCGCTCGCAAATCTTTGAAAACCAGCGCAGCCGGTGGAGGGATTCCATTGCCATGTTCCTTGAAAAAATGCCCCAGCTTACCGCAGACAGCGCACCAATCTGGGAGCTTTTCATATTTCACCTTGTATATCTGTCATTTCCCCTCTCTAATCATGGAAACTACATTTTTCAGAGGTTTCAAAACACTGATCCGAACCCAAACACGGCGAAAGTTTCCGGTGAAGTCTGGTGATTGGGGTTCTGCATAGAGAACTTCACCCACCTTTGATGCGAGGGACGGCACCAGATGGGCATAAAGAGGTGGTACGTCATGCACTTGCACCAAGATATCAATGGAATCAAGTTGTACTGTCAATGGTTTGGCTATGCCATCGTAGGGTTTTAGTAGGACAACATCTCCCCTAAAGTGCTACGGACCTTCCTGAGTAACCTGCTCCCAATCACCAAGGCAAGAGAATTGAACTTTGTAGAGATTTTCCTCCAATGGTTTGAACTTCACCTCTTGGGCCAGATCCCACGCTGCTCTCATGTTCCTGTAGAACCGGAATTGGTTGTAAGTTTTAGTGCAATGAACCCTAGCCAGGGCTATCCAGCGGGCAGCCTCGGGCTATCCAGCGGGCAGCCTCGGGCAGTGCAGATTCCTCATCGAACACCACATCATCTAGGTCCTCCTCTCGAAGACCCAATTGCTGCACCATTGCTTCCACATCGCCAATCTCCTGCGTCCCTGCTGAGGCAGCATCCAAAGATTTGTTTGAAGCCATCTCGAAACCCTAGCCCGATGGAAAAGTATCGGACCTTATGGACATGTTCCATTCAAGTCATGTGCCTGTACGTGGAAGCATGGGCCATGCCCATCATCTCTCCTTTTCTTTCTTAGGCCTAGCACAGGAGTCACGAGAGGAGAGAGGCTGGGGTGTCGCTGAGTTTGGAAATCCCTATTCACCGCTCGCTGCGGCAAACTGTCGGGCTACCGCACAGGGCAGGGATGCGAGCGACAAACATGGGCCGCCCACTTCGAGATTTACACAGGTGCGGCCAACCGGTTTTAGGAACCTTTCCTAAACCGGGTCTTTTTTTCTGTGTTCTTTCCTTTTCGGTTTGAGTTTCTATTATGTTTTATTTTTCGTTTTTCCTTTTCCTTTTCCTTTTCCTTCGTTTTCGTTTTTCCATTTTCTTCTTTCTTTTTCTTATATTTTCTTTTTCTTTCCTTTCCTTTTCCTTTCTCTTTTTTCCCAAGTTTATTTCCTTCAAAAAGCTGTACACAAATTTTAAAAAAGATTGCATTGTTCAAAAGTTATTCAAAGTTTCAAAAACTATGCCGGTTTTCAATTTTTGTTTGTAAATTTATAAATATTAGAATTCAAAATTTGTTTGCATGTTTGAAAATTTCTTGACAAACTTAAATATTGTTCTGGTTGTCAAATTTGTACACAAATTAAAAAATTGTTCAATCTTTTACAAAATGTAATATCCAAATGATGTTTAATCTTTGAAAAAAAAATTCCCATTTTCAAAATTTTGTTCAGAAATTTCATAAAAATCTATAATTTCAAAAATTGTTTGCTTAATTTTGAAAAATGTTCTAAATATTAAAAAATGCTCGACTTTTTTGTTCCCAAACTGAGAAATGTTCGGTTTCAACAATATGTTCCCGTTTTCAATGTTTGTTCAAAATGTTGAAAATATTAATATTTTCCCGTTTTCAATGTTTCTTCATAGTGTTGAAAATATTAATATTTTAAAATTTGTTCACAAATTCAAAAAATGTTCGTGCTTTAAAAATTTGTGCACAAATTCGATATTGTCCACAAAATTGGAAAAATGTTCCCGTTTTCATAATTTGTTCACAAATTCAGAAAACTTCCCTGTTTTTATTTTTTTTTCACAAATTCAAATAAAGTGGGAATTCTAGAAAATTGTTCCTCTTTTTCTATATATGTTCACAAATTCAACAAATGTTCAGGTTTCCAAATTTGTTCACAAATTAAAATTTGTTCAGGAATTTCAGAAAATGTCCCTATTTTCCAAATTCATTCAGAAATTTAGAAAATGTTCTGTTTTTGAAAATGTTTCAGTTTTCAAAAATTGGGTTTAATAATCAACTCTGTTTTTTTTAAAACCTTTCAAGATTTTAAATATATGTTGCATCTGTGCTGGATGTTGGTTCTAAAACATTTACGCTGGTTCTTGTTTAGTAACCTTCCATAGCTCAACCGGTCAAAGCGCGTGGTCGGTTGCGTGAGATCCTGTGTTCAATCCTGTCGTTATGGCGTGTTTCTTTTTAGCTATCGATTTGTTTCCTTCATGGGCCGGCCCAGGAAGAGGCCTGCCTATGCGAAACTGCAGCTGTTTGCCGCAGAGAGCGGCGTATAGGAGCTCCCGCTGAGTTTGGCTTCATTTTTTTCGCTCGTAGTATATACATGTGATGTATCCTACATACACGTACCTGGAGGGCCCCCCCTGACGTTTATGGTTTAGACTTTGGTGGTAGTCTGAGGTTGTAATATGGACTAGAACAAAACAACCAGAATTCTCCTCAAACATACAGTTATGGAAACTTATTTCAAATTTCAAAATGAAACTCACATGTATGAAACATGGTCGAAAGCACACTTTTAAATAACTAGGGAAATGAGCCTTACATTAAATTCTTGCTCAAAACTGTGAACATATGAAATATGGAACATACATTGATGGAAGTTGAAACCTCTGGACCTTGAAAGCCCTTCCGACGGTGTAGTATTGGCTAGGAGTGTCCTTTGTTGCGAGTGACACATTACAAGAAGATTACCACGGATTGACTCTGACATCCCTATCCCAAAACTGTAGGTTGTTTTACTGGTAGTCGAAAGAAGTTGAAATTGCGAAGCCATGCCTTGAAACCTAGCCTTTTGAGTAGCATTACTTCCCCGATAGCTACCATGAAGATAAACCAGACAACATCGAGAAAAAGGAAAGGGGATACGATAGCACATGAAATATAAGCTATTTTGGGGGGCAGCTGGCTCTAGTACCACGTAGAGTCCAAACACAAATGCGGCAGCCAAGGACTTGGCCGAGCAATAGACAAAGACGATGGAGATGATGAAGGAGGTCATGCGCGTGCGTATGTCGACTGCGGTGACCCCAGCGTACATGACGTTCATGGTAGCTAGAGCTGAGGAAACGAGCGCCAGTGTGTTGGCGATGATGAACGCGTGAAAGACTGGTTTTCCAGCAAGCATAGCTATTCCAGCTGTTCCACGCTTACCCTTCAAGTCATCTGTTCGGAAGCCACCTGGTAAGGTGAAAGCTGCTGCGAAAGCTACCGTAACAATTAGCACTGACCCAATGCCAATAATCGGCGTGGAATCTGAGATCTTCTTTTCTTCCACTTTAATTTCTATTGGCGGGATATGTTCTTTGAGGAACCAATCACAGCGGTATGCAGCAGTTTTAGCTCCTGCACCTTTAAGTAGTAGGTATATCCTATTTCGTGGGTTCTGCAAGAAAAATAAGGTTAATGTGTTCCTCATGATCGAGTTGAAAATTCCACCAACCTACTCATATCTAGACCAGCATACTACCGATTCAAAAATATGGCAGAACAAGAATAAGATTGATGAACTAAGTACCAGCATGAAATTAAGGCCTTGTGGCATCTTCGTCCATGCAATATCTAGCGGTGTTTGGCCTTTGTTGTTCACTAAATCCAGCTGAACTTGCGGGTTCTGAATTAGAAGATAGAAACCCCACTGGTTCCCGACTATGGCAGCAAGATGGAGTGGACTGTTCCCATGATTGTCTTGCACGTTCATAATTGGTGCAAATGGTATGTGATGGTACCAACTTCCGACCACAAGAGGGTGCTCCTTCGCAATACCAACATGTAGGAAGTGTTGGCGCCGCCTCCTCGCAGCGCCGCTTCTTCTTCTACCTCGAGCTCCCTCACAAAACTCTCTTGTGGTTTCTCTCTATCTTCTTCTCTCAAGAACACAAGAACACACACATACACATGAAACTCTACACACACGCACACCTCACCGTGGGAGGAACCAGCTTTGCTTTGTTCTCCCGGTGAGACACACATATGCTACATCTTTTTTCCCTCAGCCCTCACGGCCTCACTTCATTACTCAGTATGCAACATGTATATATACATCAGGTGCTGGACTCACGCACGCACTACCAGCCACCTTAACCGGCCACTAACAGCACCCTCCACGCACTAACCCATTCGCCAACTGACTAGCTACATGCACGCCCATGTCAATCACTAACAAACTCACGCATGCACTGACTCTTGACTCGGCTAGCACCACGCACACATGCAGCTACAGCCTCACATACTCTAACTAATTCTGACTTGGCCAAATCACTTGGCTCAACCTGAATGAGCAGCCCGTCACGCTCCAGCCACGGTCGCATCTTGCCGCATCACACGGCGTTGCCTTATCGCATAGCAATATCCACATCTCCTCGTGCTCGCCGCGTCGCACGGCAGCCTGACATCTCATCTTCTCCGCGTGCCTCCGCTGAAGCTTCACCGGACTAGCTACTCTCTAACCTATCCTACATGCACAACGAAAGCAAACTAAATATGCAGATACATGGAATCAAGATTAAGTCTAACAGGAAGGTCTGGCCATTACCATCACGCAGTCCTGCGCATGTGGGCACCGTGTCCAGCAACACGCGAAGTGTAGACCGTGAACTTAGCGTTGCTGCCACATGTATAGGGAACGACCCACTATTGTCGCTTTGAAATGCGGCAGATTCGTCACAGTGCAATAGTAGTTTGATCACCTCCTTGCTTTGACTCCCCCATGATATGGCAATATGAAGAGGCGTACTTCCAGTCAATTTGTCCGCTTGTTTGGTGAGGGCCTTGTTCCAGTCCAGTAACTTCTTTGTAATCTCTGGAATTTCGGTTGTTCATTTAATTTGTCAGAGAGCTATGAGCCTATGATACAATTTCTTCAAGATGCATCTAGGTATGGTTTCACACCATTAACTTACTCAAATTTAATTGCAACTGAACCTAGCTAGACACTACTTTTTGGTTCGTCAAATCAAAATGAAAGAGTTAATCCCTTAACAGGGAATTGAAAGAATATAAAGCATGCTAAGGCCTTGATGTATGAAACCAAAATCTATACTTTTTTTTTTGAAACCAAAATCCATTGATCTGTTAGAACTAGAAAATAAACAACACACAATATTCTCATGTTTAAAGTTTTGACCTTTGACACAAAAGCATGGCATACTCTGGCTTACTCGACCGAGTTAATGAGCATCATGAGGGGAAGAAGAAATTAAATGAATGCTAACGATAAAAGAAAAAACTTATTTAACGAGGTTAACAATATTAATATTTTTAATGAATGTTTCTTTCTCTTTCTCCTGACTAGTTTTCTAATTAAAATATTAATATTGTTAACCTCGTTAAATAAGTTTTTCAACAAAATTATAGCAACCGACAACAGTAATCGCGACCCTTGGTAGTTTTAGAGAAAATAGATTGTGGGAAAACAACTGGCTATGGTTGTAGTCTGTTTAAAACCAAAACAAAAACCTTAAATTAGTTGGGAATTCTAACTATCCCGGAGTATAATTTTATTCTAGTTAGTTTTTTCACAGTAACCAACTATAAACTACTGAAATAACTCTCGCATTTTTGTTCTATTAACTTCCCGTTTTTTCTCTCTTGAACTTTGAGTATTCTTTTTCATTTTATTTTAGTTATAGAACTTCTATTTTATTTTCATGTGAGCTCGTCCTTTAATAGAGAATTAATTGGTAGAGTGGCTTTCAATTTTCTTTAGACAATGAATTGATTACTCATTTTAATTTGAACTTCTTGGTTTTTGTTTTAAAAATATGGAAATCCGCAAAAAGACCATGTACAAAATATTCTAATACAAAAAGGATCTATTATTCTAAAAAAATCTTTGTTTTGTGTATGAACTTTTTTTATTGTAGTGTATGAACAGAAAATTCTACACGGTGAACTTTCTTTGAGGGTTTTTATCTTGTATTTTGTTTTACTTTTTTACTTTTGAACGTTCTGGATTTTTCACGCTCTTTTCTGGTACGGAACTTTTATTTTATTTTTCGTTGTTTCATGAACTCTTC